GGCTCGTCTGAACCACTGTGTACACATGCAGGCTGCGAAGGCTCCAGTCATCACTGAACAGCCTTTCCACTTTCAAGGGCGCAACTGTAAGACTTGTCGCCTCGCACTGAAGCGGTGGACTGCTGGCAAGCCGCAAGTCCGTTGGGACATCCATCAGTTCGACTGCAACGCAGTCCCGCCAGTCCTTCGACACCGCGGCAGCAACAACGCAACAGATGTTGCCGTGCCATCCGGAACAAACGCAAATTAGAAAAGTGGTAGTGTTGAATCTTGAACACACACTCTTGAAACTCAAACCTTCCCTGCCAATTGCAGCAGCTGCACGTCTGAAGACAAATGACAAGCTTTCTGCAAGTACATATTGTTCCCTGGCGACAAGTGCACCAGGCGGAAAACAGACCAAGCGTCCTTGATGACACAGCCTCGTAAAGCATAACAAGACCCCTTCTCAAAGGCTGCTTTGATATGCTCACGCATCAACGGCATGTCAGCACTTGGTTCTGGAAGGTTGGTTGATGCAACCTTGGCAAGATAGCCAGTAAACTCGTCCTTCTTTGCACGGAGATCAGTGAGAGGGTCATGGATTGCTTTGCGGCTAGCTCGAGTAAACTCTTCCATCAGCTGAGTCTTGCAAGACCAAGAACCTGTTGGTTGCAACTGGCCAAGGTTGCAGAGCAAATCAGGCAACTCCTGCTGGAACAAAGGCTTTTCCAAGTCCTGATTCTGACGCCGTCTCATTGCTGCTGACAGCGTCGATGGGTTCTGAAAATGTTTGAACGACAGGAAACGCTTCAGAATTGCGTGCCGGCCTTCCAGTCTCTGCATGCACACAAGACACGTGCTGGTCTATGTCGGCCACAGGCAATGCCAAGGGAAACAATCTGTTCAGACTGCCATCAGTGGCTTGCAAAGACCAGATTCCACTTTCTGCCCCAAAATCACATAAAAGTGTACGGGTGCGATTCAGGGCCAATGGCAAGTCGTCAGCTTCCAAGCCCAAAGAACGCAATAGTTGCTCACCCTTGTGCACAGCTGACCCTGCCCTGCTTCCAATGATGGCTAGAGGGAGCAGCCTCGAAGCAATTCCAAAGCGCCCTTCCGCGAGCAACTGCTGCACATGTGTTTGCCACATACGGGGCTGACACACCAAGCTTGCACCAGTCATACTCTGAAACCAAATAAACTCGCCCACCTTGCGGCGACGAATCAGTTCTCAGGTGGATATACCATTTTGACGAGCTGTCCAGAACATGCCTTCGAGCAAACAGGCAGGCCGCCATATCCAGTATCACCCGGTTTCTTGTCAGTGCTGCAGTTGAAGGCACAGCAAGCTCCTCCATCAGTCAACAAGCTCCAGTGGGGCACTGGTGAGACATTTAAAGCTTTAACACAAATCAGGCCACTCTGCAACATGACTGAACTCCATTCTCCACTATCCATTGGGGCCCTTCACATTCGTAATTTATTCCTTTGGTTACTTGGTTTGGTCTGAGTCTGAAAGTATCCGCGTTGCAGTGGTAGTGCAGCCGTGCAGCTCGCACGCTCAACCTTCCATGTTCACCAATCTGGGAAAGAAAGAAAGGGTAACCCTTGAACCAACCACACTCAAACAGTCTCACAGATCTCACATGCCACTCGGATATATGACAGTCTGACAGTCTGACAACAGAGACAGAGCTTGCCAAATGTGAAAACCTACAGCCTACAACCCATAGTATAGCCCCAATTCAATCATCTAGTCCAGTTTGTCAATCTGCTAATACTAAAAGGTAGGTTGGGGGAAAAGGCTTTGGGCAAGCTGGCTTCGATTCGGTTCGGGCCGGTCCAGTCCTGCTCAGCGAGATGAGCGGCAAGGTCCGCGTGCAAACACAGTCTCAGCGACCTGAGCGTCGTGTGCGCTGCGCCGGGCAGCGCAGCGCAACTCTCCAAATGTCCCCAACGGCTAAAGTGAAAGGTTGCCGGTTTGCTTGTGAATAGTGAATATAGTCAACACAGTGACAATTTCAGATAAAGGATGGAACGCCTCCAAATCCAAACTCAAACTCAAACGAGCCATGTTTTGGCATGAATGGAATCATCATCATGAATCCTTTGTGGAGTTGCGGCATTGCGTCAATGGTTAATGGGGAAGGGTCACGAGTCACGGTCAAAAACTGTCAAATGATAATGGAATCAAGTTGGGTTTGGATGGCCACGAAATCAAGAGCCCCAAAAGGTCTTGCCAAAGGTTGTCCTCAACAGAACTGAGCCTCAACTAAACTAAGTCTGAAACACTTCAAGAACCTTCCTTTGCCTGCCCTGGCCCTGGTTTCCCAGTCAGTCAGCACCTCACCCGTTGGCCCGTTTCCCCAACAAAAACAATCAGCCCAAGTCTCAAGTAACCAAGAGCGGCCCAAAGCCAAAATCCCTTGAAAGGCCAGGGGTCCCGTTTTCTTCACTCGCCAAGGCAAGACACGGTACGGCAAGACCCCAAAGTGTCAGTCAGCGCCATCTCATCCCAAAAAAAAGTGGGGTCCAGTCCGGAGTCTGGGGTTGGGTCGGGTCCCTCAAACTGTCAATCTGCACCAAGGCCCCCAGAGTCAAATTGAATCGTAATCGAAAAGGATTGGTGTCCAGTGCCCAGTGCCCAGTGTCAAGTTCCAAGCTCAACAGCAACGCAAAGAATGAATTTGAACTTTGAACTTTGAACTGACATTTTTTCTGATGGAAACTAAACAGGATCCTGGAAACTGGTTTTCAGCCATCTAACAAATCATTTTGTTTGGGGGGGGTCTTATCTTATCTTTGGGTAGCGCAAGAAGATGAAGCCAGCAGCTGCTACGTCGCGTCATCATCCATCACTGTCATCGGGAATCATGTGCCCATCTCCCTCTTTGAGCTTCTCGTGGTGCAGCTGGTTGTTGCAATTCACGTGCAAAGGCCTCCACGACCCCACAATTCAATTTGGAGCGTGAGAATGTCCGGCTCCGGCATGGTGGTGGCCGCCCAGGGCTGACTAGCCGACATCAGGGGCTTCAGCTTTGGCTGACTAGCCACGGCTTCCCATTCTCATTCCACAGAGTTGCTCAGACGCTTCAATCGTCAAAACCCTTTTAAGGGATATCCGCGGCGGAGCGTTTTGGTGGCTGGATGGTTGATTTGGGGCATTCACATTCCCATTCAAATTCAGGGCCTATGATTCTGTGTTGGGACCGGACGGTGACGCAGGCAGGTGCGGTCACCCATCATCTATCAATCGAATCCATTTCGGGGGGGCCAACCTTCAAACTCAGACTTGCCAACTGAACAGGAAAATTGGCAAGGAAGGTCCGGGCCGGACCTGCGCAGGTCCGTTAAAAAGGAACATGGTAATGGTCTGTAGACGTCAATGAACATTCAAGTAAGAAAAGTTAAGCAAAGACTCAGACCCTGTAGTTGGAGGGAAACTGGGCATGATACTGACACTGATGGGATTGGGACGATGTACTGATCTGCCCAAAAGACCTTTCCACCATCGATCTCAATCCCTGTCTCTGTCGCCCAACGCCAACACTCACTCAGCTGAGGCGCCCGGCATCCTGAGTGCTGCTGCCATATCTTCGGTTGATTTCCTGAGATCGGCCCGAGTGTGGTGGTGGCACGCGGATTGTTTGACGGACTCAAAATGTAGGCGGATTGTTTGTTTGTTTGACGGATTGTTTGTTTGATCATCACCACCTCACCATCATCATGATCATCACCATCACATCGTCATCTCAGTTCTCAACCGTATCATTCCATCAACACTTATCTCCTCTCATCATTCAAACTAAACTCTTGCCAACTCATGTTCAGCAAAGCATCATGAGATCCGCAAGAAGAACCGAGTGAAGCATGAAGTCTGGACGGTAACCCCATCCGCCTGGCGCCCTCAGGCTTGAAAGCCGTGACGACCGAGTCTCCTTCGGGTTGGAGATTGCGCAAATCTGATTGAGTCTCCTGCACCTGTCGCGCACACAAGCTAAGTTGCCCTGCTCCGCAGCGTTGCAAATTTGCTGCAACAGCTGGGTCACTGGTGTTGACACTGTCGAAACATCTGAAGTTTGCGCACGCTGGGCGACCGCGGTGCCGGGCACTGTCTCAATCATTGATTTCATCGGTGGCACATACCTTGCAACCAAAAAGATCTGATCTGAGACATCTGAGAATCTGATCATCTGATATAAGAATCGAACTGAACTTCATGAACACGTAAACTAGTAACCAGTAAACCTTGGCCTTGGGCCATGGGACAAAAAAAGGCCAATGCAAATCAATCAATGCAAATGCAAAGGCAAGGATCCTGAAATGTTGCAACGACAATGGAAGACGCAGTGGAATGCGGAACCTCTCCGACAATTGCCCAAAGCTGAGAATCTGTCCAACATCTTGCTGGTTGAGGGATTCCTGCGCTTCAAACTGCACCTCCGGAAGCAAGTCTGAAACTAGCCGGTAATCGCATTCATGAAAAGCAGCTAAGTAGCGCTGAGTTTGACCTTGTTTGGAGACCGCAACACAAGGTCGCAGTGTAGCTCGCATCTTGAAACCATCTGTATCCACTGTCGAATCATATACGTGCAGCGTGTCCTTGCCACTTCATGAAGCACAGCGCGGCACAACGTGTGAATTAGTGAAATGTGGAACTATTACTATGAGTTGTGAATCAAATCCAATCAATGCTTCCTGAACTGGACCGGAACCTGGGCAAAAAGTGTTAAATTCGTGCCTCGGCCTCGAAACTCGAAACTCGCAATCGGAACAAACTCAAATCAAAGCCCAGGCTCCAGAAGGTCAAAGTCTGACGTGCTTCGTTGGAAGCACCACAGGTAGCCTTCAGGTAGCTGAAATGGCCGTCTCGGCGCCCACGACTTCAAGCGCGCCCGCTTTGCAGCAGAGTCAGCCATTGCCGGTTGCCGGTTGCCGGAGGGCTACCTCTTTTACTGTCAGTGTCACTGTCATTGAGTCATAGTCTGATAGCAAAAGCTCGGCCGCGGGCCGCATCTATGGCTAAGTCTGATTAACCTTGATCATTCACATTCCAGCAGTGCTGCCAGGGTTTCTGATGGTGGCTGCCTGCATCCTCCCTACCAACTTCTACCTTGCACCGTGAACTCAGCCGCTCAGGCTGACTTAGGCTCAGCCAAATGCGGGACACAGTCCAAAGACCAACGAATCCGAAACTCGCATCTCACATCTTGCTTCAGGCACCCAAAGAGGGTCGCCAACCCAATCTTATCGGCCAAACTGAAGATCTGAAACCTGAGAAAGGAACCAACAGTTTAACCGAACCATACATGTTACATGTGCCGTTGATTGATTGCTGGGATTTATTAATTGCTGGCTTGGCAAGGATTGAGCGATAGATCGATTGATTGATTGATTGATTGATTGATTGATTGATTGATTGATTGATTGGTTGATTGGTTGATTGGTTGATTGGTTGATTGGTTGATTGGTTGATTGGTTGATTGGTTGATTGGTTGATTGGTTGAGTTGAAGCAAACTGAACTGATTGGTTGACCCCACCCCCTGGGGTCTCTCTCTCGAGGCTTGCATGCCCAAAACCACTGGTGTCTTTTTTTAGCGCCTTCCAAACTCACCCGCAACACCCAGCCCAACATCCACATTATTTAACATGGCTCGTGCAAAAGCATAGTCAAAACACCCCAAATACGATCAGGCAAGTGGGCTTAACAGCCAGGAATCCAAGGAGCGTAGTCTTGCGCTGGGGGAGCTCAAAATGTTTTGGGAAAAACCACATGCTCCACCCCTATGAGGGCTAGCTCCGGCACCATCCATGGCTCGGCCGAGGCCCGTGCTGCGCGCCAGAGCTACGCGGACTCGTGCGCGGAGGGCGCGCGGAGCCACAGGAGCGGCGCAAGGACTGTTCTGTGTCTTTGAGGCTTTGTGTCTTTCTGGTTGTGTGCCTGTGCTTTCGTGTGTGTGCGTGTGTGCTTCTGTGTGTGTGTGTGCTTCCGTGTGTGTGTGTGTGCGGAGTGGCAGAATACCCTGCCACCACTGTTTCCTGTGCAGGGGGCGTGGCGGTCTCCTCGTAGCCACGCCAACGAAGCTATCGAGGATGACTGGATGCATCAAGGGACGCCTTGATGTGTACCTGCACCAGTTTTGCAATGTCCTTTTGGCCCGTGGTTTCTCTTGCTGTGTGTGCTTCATGTTGGAACTGGTAACGTTTTCGACGCTAGAGGGAAGCCGAGTGCATCGCAAGCCGAAACTTATCCGACTCGAGACTTATCGGTTGTACTCGAGACTCATCAGTTGTGCTCGAGACTCATCAGTTGTACTCGAAAGATTAGACCCTCCATCAGGAGTTTAAGTGTGTTGCATGTGTGGTGTGTGTGTGTGCTTGTGTGTGTGTTGTATGTGTGCTTTTGTGTGTGTGTGCTTTTGTGTGTGTGCTTTTGTGTGTGTGTGTGTGCTTTTCTTTGTGTGTGTGCTTTTGTGTGTGTGTGCTTCTGTGTGTGTGTGTGCTTCCGTGTGCGTGTGTTGCATGTGTGGTGTGTGTGTGTGTGTGTGCTGTTGTGTGTGTGTTGTAGGTGTGCTTTTGTGTGTGTGTGTGTGTGCTTTTGTCTGTGTGTGTGTGTGTGCTTTTGTGCGTGTGTTTGCTTTTGTGTGTGTGTGTGCCTGTGCTTTTGTGTGTGTGTGCTTCTGTGCGTGTGTGCTTCCGTGTGTGTGCGTGTTGCATGTGTGGTGTGTGTGTGTGTGTGCTTTTGTGTGTGTGTTGTATGTGTGCTTTTGTGTGTGTGTGTGCTTTTGTGTGTGTGTGCTTTTGTGTGTGTGCCTGTGCTTTTGTGTGTGTGTGTGCTTCTGTGTGTGTGTGTGTGCTTCCGTGTGTGTGCGTGTGTTGCATGTGTGGTGTGTGTGTGTGCTTTTGTGTGTGTGTTGTATGTGTGCTGTTGTGTGTGTGTGTGTGGTTTTGTGTGTGTGTGTGCTTTTGTGTGTGTGCTTTCGTGTGTGTGCGTGTGTTGCATGTGTGGTGTGTGTGTGCTTCTGTGTGTGTGTGTGTGCTTCCGTGTGTGTGTGTGTTGCATGTGTGGTGTGTGTGTGTGTGCTTTTGTGTGTGTGTGTTGTATGTGTGCTGTTGTGTGTGTGTGTGCTTTTATGTGTGTGTGCTTTTGTGTGTGTGCGTTTGTGTGTGTGCTTTTGTGTGTGTGTGCTTCTGTGTGTGTGTGTGCTTCCGTGTTTGTGTGTGTGTTGCATGTGTGGTGTGTGTGTGTGTGCTTTTGTGTGTGTGTTGTATGTGTGCTTTTGTGTGTGTGTGTGTGCTTTTGTGTGTGTGTGTGCTTTTGTGTGTGTGCTTTTGTGTGTGTGTGTGCATTTGTGTGTGTGTGCTTTTGTGTGTGTGTGTGTGCTTTTGTGTGTGTGTGCTTTTGTGTGTGTGTGTGTGTGCTTTTGCGTGTGTGTGTGTGTCTGCTTGTGTGTGTGTGCTTGTGTGTGTGTCTGTGTCTGTGTCTGTGTCTGTGTCTGTGTCTGTGTCTGTGTCTGTATCTGTGTCTGTGTCTGTGTCTGTGTCTGTGCGTGTGCGTGTGCGTGTGCGTGTGCGTGTGCGTGTGCGTGCGCGTGTGCTTTTGTGTGTGTGTGTGCGTTTGTGTGCTTTTGTGTGTGTGCTTTTGTGTGTGTGTGTCTGTGTGTGCGTGCGTGCGTGCGTGCGTGGGTGGGTGGGTGGGTGGGTGGGTGGATGGGTGGGTGGGTGGGTGTGTGTTGTGCTTGTTGTGTGCCTGTTGTGTGTGTGTGTTGTGCGTGTTTGTGCTTTTGGTCTTGTTTTGGCTTTAAAGGCGAGCGAAAAGGTCACCAGCCATGTTGGGGGTCCCCAAGCCCAAAACATGCTTGGGTTGCTCCGCGGCGTGAGTTTGTGCGCAAAATTTGATGCTGTGGAACTGGCATCGTGAAGCAAGGGATGTCACACAATATGACGCCCCTTTCTAGTATGAAAGTGCACTGAATCACAGGCCGTTTTGTGGTCGCACCTTCCTTTTTGTTCCATTCTTTGCTTTATTGACCCCAACATCAGGTTGGGGCTCATCTCAGATGGGCTCGCATACAGAGGTCCGTACATGTCCGTTTTCAGCCCCTTTACACATTACCCAATCGGGCGGGGGGGAGTTTAGATGACTTTCCTTTGGGGTGATGTTGAAGGGCAATTATGGGGAGTCCTTGCAAAAGGTCGTGGGTTTGCACCAGCAGCCAGCTTTGAACTTGAAGCCCAGGTCTCTGCTTTGTATTGCTGCATCCGGCTACGAGGCTCGTAGCCTGGATTTCCCAATTTTAGGGTATCTGGGATCTCATCCTTTTGTAGTGGAATCCAAATCTGCTTCGTGCAACCTCATGGGGCAAAGTCCAAATTTCAAAGATTCATATTGCGTTTTGGTTGTATTCACATGCTTTTGTGGCTCATTTTGAAAGGGAAAGGAAAGGCCGTTGGGGTCCACATTGGGCCATTGGTCCCTTTCATTGTCAGCAACCCTCATAATCGTTTTGTATTTGTTGTAAACGTTACATTTCATAATATACAGCTTTATGATTGGCATTTTATAGACATCTTCTGTTTATTTATCGGTCTAGTATGTTATTAGTTGTTTTTGGTGTTTTGAAGTGTTCTAGCGTCTCAGAATTTGAAGTCTGTTATCATCTCTTTTGCCCAGCATATCCTGTCTATTTTTGATGCTGGGAAAGAGATTCCTTCCTCGTCTCATTCTCTTATTACCTTTCCTCGGTAACACATAGGGAAGAGGATAATGAGTGTGTATCCCGTTCTTAGATTAGCAGATATGGACGGGTAATCACTCTCTTCGTTCGTCACTATATTTTGGCTTTGAAGGGCAACCAGAGCGAAACCGACCATTGTTGGTGGTTCACTAATTCAGAACATGTAGTCGGCCCTGGAAATCTAGGTCCCATAGTAAAGCCGAGGCGTTCGCTTTCAGTTGGTATCCTTACTTGGGTTGGCTTCAAAGGGAGATCACGGGAAGCCGACTCCCTTAAGCCTTTTGGACCAAGTGACTCCGGGTCGCTCCCGCAGCAAACAGATCTCCTGAGCCCTTAGGGCTCTACGTGTGTTTAAGGGACTTTGGTGATCTCACTTCAGGTCAATTAATCCCCATCCAGCCTGTGGTTTCCCCGTACCAACTGCTGCGTGACAGGCGCTACTCGAAAAGTATACATCATATGTCGCAAAAGCCGCATGGTGTAAATTGCTTGCATCAGTGCGAGGTCTCGTGTATTTTTTGAGAGCACTGTTTTAGGGTCGGATTAAAGGGAAACCAACAGCCACCATCTTTGGGGTCCCCGAACCACACACACAGAGACACACACACACACACATCCAGGTCCAGGTGCAGGTCCAGGTCCAGGTGCAGGTGCAGGTGCAGGTGCAGGTGCAGGTGTGTGTGTGTGTGTGTTTGTGTGTCTGTGTGTCTGTGTGTCTGTGTGTCTGTGTGTCTGTGTCTCTTTGTCTC